CAAATCAACGACATATTTAGTAGGAGCAGTGGCGACTTATAGGAATGGTTAAAAATAATTCAAATTGAGTATAATTTGACACTACGGATTTAACAGTGTACGTTACATATTATGGTTACTGTTACGAAAAGTGTGAGTGGCCAGCTTAACAAACCTCAAATCAAGGCAAAGATAGGGACCGTAGGATCCCTATCTTTGCTTTGATACACATATACACGCACACGCACGCACACACACACACACACACACCACACAAAAAAGATATAAATCCGATTGAGCAACCTCCGCGTGGTACATCTTAGGTAATGTTAATACGGTATATTTTGGATAATGCTAAAGCGGTATTATAACTTTCAAGCTTTATAACTCTAAAAGTACTTAATAAAAAAATACTTAATTATAGTGTTTTGGAAAGTTCTCAGGATAAGAATATATTATGAAAAATAGGAGGTTCCATTTAAGAAATTGAAGTGCCCTTCAAGCGGCTATTCAAAGTCAAACCAATAACACCATTTTATGTCCTTCTCGAAGTCACAAAATTTTTCCAGGAAATATTTGTAACGATGCATATCGTTACGTAATAATAGTAACGCAGAACAACGCGAATCAGGAGCGCAAGAGGACAGCGCGTCCTCTAATATTGTAAACAGCGCGACCGCCGAACAACCGCGGTAAATAGCGAATCAAGCCAGATTCGAGGGATATAAAACGCCGCGTAATCGTAATCGAAGAGATTCGATCATCCACTCTCGAAAGAGAAGCAGAACCGATCTACCGCTCCCGACGGAAAATCCGATTCCGATCATCCGCTCTAAGAGAGACCAATTCTACTCCGCTCCTGGCAGATTACTGTTCGTCGATTGGCGACTGTAATCACTCTGCCGTCGTTACACGGATTCGTGAGGCCGACACTGATAAGGTCCGCGGCACCGTTGGCCGCATCCGAAATCGTGTCCGAATGAGCCGAGCTCGTTGAGTCATAAAGGAAACCCCGAGAGCTAAGGTCTCGTGTACAAGGACCGACGGATGCATCGCATACGCCGAAACGACTCAAATCTCCGCGATAGGAGATCGAAGGGAGCGCCGCTAAGGCAATATCTCGCGTGCAGCTACGCTGCAAGCTCAACGACCGCGGACATTTTACGATTCCGAAACGCCGCTAAAATCGCTGGAAGAAGTGTCAACCGCGCTTAAGAGACAAGACGCCGAAAGAAACGTCAACAGAATAAACTCGCGAATACGCGACACTGACGTCGTCCGCGTCCCGCGCACCACGCGTCACATCACGCAAACCGGCGTCTAAACAAGCCTCTGTCAGGCGATACAAACAACCAAAACCAACGGCGTCGACACGTATTGTTCGATCTGTATATTGTAATTATCGTCAGCTTAGTATTTAAATATATTATTCATTATTATTTTTAAAAACACTGTTTCTCAATTATTCTGCTTATCACGAACCCGACCCGACGAGCGATCCGAACCCGCAACGAATCGCGGTTACATATTTTTCTCTCAAATGCTTTTCTCTAAAATCTACATTCCTACAAATCTTCATTCCTGAAAAATAAATTTGTAACGATGCATATCGTTACGTAATAATAACAACGCAAGCCGAACACCGCGAACCGAAAGCGCAAGAGGACAGCGCGTCCTCCAAAACAGTAAACAGCGCGACCGCCGAACAACCGCGGTAAATAGCGAATCAAGCGAGATTCAAGGTATATAAACGCGGCGTAATCGTAATCGAGAGATTCGATCATCCGCTCTCGAAAGAGAATCAGAACCGATCCACCGCTCTCGAAGGAGAATCCGATTCCGATTATCCGCTCTAAGAGAGACCGACTCCGCTCCTGGCAGATTACTGTTCGTCGATTGGCGACTGTAGTCACTC